TTTTTGTTTTGTTTTGTTTTAGTGGTTTTGCTAGAAATCACAATGGGTCTGCTTAGCTTATTATAGTGTAAAATGAATAATACCAACTTCCATTTATGGTCATATGGTCCACCACTTTATGTGCCACTCAGCAGCAGCTCAGCTCAAGCAGGGAATCGAACCGGTGATCCTGTTGCTCAGAGCTCACACTCTTGAGTGAGCTCTTAACCAACTGAGCCACTTAGCCAGCCCACTGGCCCACCACTTTAAACATCCAAAAAACTGGACACAATGCACCAAATGGAAAACAAATCACAAGCAGCCAGCAAAAAAATAAATAAATAAGTAAATTAAAATAAAAAATCTGGCCCCAATATGAAACAATGCTTTTCAGGCAGGAGGCAACAGGCAGTGATCCTCAAAAGGCGACTGTCCAGGTGAGTTCAGTGAGCCCAGCCTCCACCTGGAGGAATGTTCCAGGCTGCAGGACAGGGAGGAGGAACCCAAACACAGCTGGCCAGTGTCCTGACTTGAAGAGACAGAGAGTAGACTTTGGGGAACCCCGGCTGACTAAGACTATTAGGGTAGAGTCCCGGGGAGAGTGCTGCATAGGGAAAGCAGAAGCTCTGGGTTCTGTGGTGTGCCCCCTATGTGGTCTGTGGGGTGCTGGGCCGCTGGGGGGCTCCCCACCTGGGGAAAGCGTCCCTGGAAGGGTAAGGCTGGACGGCGCTCACTCAGGGCTCACATGGCCAGAAATCCGTGTTGCCCCCACCAGCCACAGGGCACTGAGTCCTCAGAAAACTCTTGCCTCAGTAGTGGGTTCAGTTGCCTAAAGACTGTTCTGGGCTCACCTAATAAAACTTAAAGACCCCAAAAGATCAAATTATTTCCAAGCAGCTTCACTGCATTCCAGAACAAAGTTCAAACGTATATCAAGAAATGAAAATCTCCAGGACATTGTAAAATTTACAATATCATCCATCAAAAATTACCATAAATGCAAAGAAGCAGGAAAACATAGCTCATAATGGGGGGATATGTTCCCTCAGCGCTGGAAGGCTGGGCTGACTTCCGGTTTCCCCGCTTCAGGCGTGGAGCGGCTGTCTGACCAGGCACAGAACCAGGTCACCTTTGGGGCCACAAAGCCTGGGCTCCCACTCCTCCTCTCCCAGCCCTTTTCAGCTGTGAAAGCCTCAGCTGACTCACCCACTTAACCGAAACCGAACTCTGCCCCTCTGCCCCTTGGACTCATGCCTCCGTCTCCCCCAGGCCAAACTGGATGCTACCTTTGTCTCCTTTCTTCCACACCTGGTGTCCACTGGCGATGCCCCTGGGCTCCACCTCCCCCTCTCAGCCCCCCCCTCTGGGAAGGTGAATGCAGGGGTGAGGGGAGGGTTAGTTGGGGGGGTGCGGGCATCCTGACTGCTGAGAGTTGGGGTGGTGGGTCTGGGAGTCATCTGCTCTGAGAGGAGAAGGTCCCTCAAACACTGTCCCGGGCAGATCCCAAGGCAGGTGTGAGGCACCCAATCTGGCCTCTTCATGGTCCCTGAGAGAAACGTTCAGATGGCCCGGACCCACCTCAGCCCCAGAGTGGTGGCAGCCGAGAGTGTGTGCAGGGGTTGGGGACTCCAGGTGTTGGGGTGGAGGGCACCAAAGGGGTTCACGTCCCACGCTTCCTGGCATCACAGACAGGCCATATTTACGCTGACAACTCTCACACTTCTATCTTTAGCCTGACGTCGGCTCTGAGTTCAGGCCTAGAGAGCCCACATCGCCGATGCACAATTTCTGACCCGAATCCCCACCCCACCAGCATTCTCCTTGCACTAACCCCTTCACTCCCTCATCTCTGAAGCCCCTCCCCCCCCTCCCTTGCCACCAGCCAGCTTCTCCCTCCCTCCTACGCATCCCAGCCCACATATCCAGTTACCCAGCAAGCAGGCTGCTTCTCCCAGCATCTGCTTCCCACCTCCCCTTGGCGGCAGAGGCCTCCCCAATGTGCCCTTTGTCCCACCTCCCCCCCCACACACACTCCAGGCCTGGGCTGCACAGCTAGCACCTCTCTGCCTGTGCAGACCGGTCTGCTCACTGGGGTCCCAGCACTCACACTTCCTGAGCATTTTCTGAACACCCAGAGAGGTTCCAGACGCTGCAGACACATCAGGGAGCAAAAGAGACAGGCTCCTGCCCTCCAGGCAGAGGTCAGGCTTTTCAGCGGAAGCACCACCACAGTTTGGGCCGGGTCACCATTGGTGGGGGCTGGCCTGCACCTTGGATTCGGCCTCACAGCACCCTTGACCTCTACCCGGGAGATTCAGTGGCACCTTTCCTTCAGCCAGTCTGAGCACACAAGATGTCTCCAGACATTGCCACATATACCTGAGGGCAAAACTGCGCCCCCCCTACTCTGGAGACAATGAAGAATCAACATGTGGAATGAGCTATAGAGTGAGTCAGAGGGTGAGAAGTGTAAGAAAATAAAAAATGTAGGTCAGAGGAAGGGGGGCTGGAGAGGTTGGGGTGGTGCTATGGGCTGAAGGTCTGTGTCCCCCCAAATTCATATGTCAAATCTATAACCCCCAGTGTGGCTGTAATTGGAGATAGGGCTTCTAAGGAAGAAACTAAGGTTAAATGAGGTCATAGGGGTGGGGGGCCCCAATCCCATAGGATTAGTGAGGAGACCCCAGAGAGCTCTGTTTTCCTCTCTTCCCCCTCTCCTTCCCCCCCCCCACACGGAGGAAACGCCATGTGAGGACCAGTGAGAAGGCCGTTGTCTGAAAGCCAGGAAGAGTCCTGACCCGAAACCAAATTGGCTAGAAACGTGATCTCAGATTCCCAGCCTCAGAATGGAGAGAAAATAAATGTCTGTTGTTGGGCCAGCCAAGTGGCTCAGTTGGTTAAGAGTTACCTTAAGAGTACAAGCTCTGAGCAACAGGGCCACTGGTTCGATTCCCACATGGGCCAGTGATGCTGCGCCCGAGCTGAGCTGTTGCTGCATTGCCAACAGGTGGCAGGATGGCTCAGCTGGTGTAACAAGATTGCCTGTTCAATGGTGGGCTACGCCCGCCCACAACTAAGACTGAACTCAGCACCTTGAGCTGAGCTGCCGCCCGGATGGCTCAGTGGATAGGGCGTGCACCCTTAACAACAAGGCTGCTGGTTCGACTCCCACATGGGATGGTGGCTACGCCCACCCGCAACTAAGACTGAACACAGCACCTTGAGCTTAGAGGCCATGAGCTGCGGACAGGATGCCAGATGGCAACTGGTGCCGTCCACAACGAAGATTGAAGAACAACAACTTGGCTGGTCCCTTTCTGCAACACTGTTCCCCTCCCCCAAATTCCCAATAAAATCTTTTAAAAAATAAATAAATAAATAAAATAAATGTCTGTTGTTCAAGCCCCACATCTGTGGGGTTTTAAGGCGGTCCACATGGACCAAGACAGGTGGCGTGGGTGGGCCACTTTTGGCTTTCACTGAGAAGAGAAGGAGCAGAGCCTGGGGGAAGGGAGGACGGGAGGGGAAGCCCGGGGCTGTCGGCAGGAACAGGCCGCCCAGCTCAGGGAAGGCCCTGGAGCAGAGCAGCCAGGGTCCCTAGCCTGGCAAGACGTGTGTGGCTGGCGTGGCTTGGGCAGGGAAGGGGTGGGACGGTCGGCCGGCAGGTGAGGGCCTTCCAGCCTCGTCAGGACCTGGGATTGTCACTGGGGTGAGGTGGGATCTGTGGAGGGCTGTGAGCAGGGACAGGACAGTGTCTGACAGTGATTTAGAAGGTCACTGCCACAGCGGCATCATTACAACAGCGGAACGGTGGAAGCAGCCCGAGCATCTCCCCACAGATGAAGGACAGGCACACACAGTGGGTATGGCTCAGCCTTCGAAAAGAAGGAAATCCTGACTGGCTACAGCACGGATGGACCTTGAGGACATTGTGCTCAGGGAAAGAAGCCTGTGAGGAAAGACACACGCTGAGATCCCACTTTTGAGTTACTTAGAGCAGTCAGCTCCATAGACAGGAAGTAGATGGTGGGTGCCTGGGGCTGGGGAGTGTAATGGGGACAGTGTCAGTTGGAAGATGGAAGAGTCCCAGAGATGACGGTGGGGACGTTCACAAGTGTGAATGCACCAAATGCCACTGAGCTGGGTATTTAAAAATGGTTAAAATGGTATATTTTGTGTTATATGTATTTACCACAGCGACTGGATAAGGTCACAAAGGGTGGGGTGTAGTGAACAGGCCCAAGGACACGGTCCTGGGAAGGGGACACCGAAAGGTAGGGGGCAAAGGACTGCTCAGCAGCACCCAGCAGGGGGCATAGGTGGAGGGGGGAGGGGCCGCAGGGCTGCCTATGGCCACGTGCGGAGGACTGAGGACTGGTCCCTGGACTGTTGTGGGTCACGGCCAGACAGGAGTGGGCTCAAGAGAAAAAGGGGGAGAAGCTGGACAGCGAGGATGGGTACTGGGCGAGGAGGTGCTGTGGGCTCACGAGGTTCGTTTTGTTTGGATACGAAAGAAATCACAGCCTGTTTGCTGAAGAGAAGTGTCGATGGACAAGGAAATTCGAGTGCCCTGGGGCGGAGGAGGCAGGCTGGAGCGAGGGGACAGCCCGCAGGGTGGGAGAAAGGGCGCTAGCAGCCCCAAGGCCCCCGGCCGACCGCGCGGTCCCCCCGGTAGGGGCGCACGGACGCGGGGAGGGTGCGGCAAAGAGGTCGGGTGTGTGTGTGTGTGTGTGTGTGTGTGTGTGTGTGTGTGTGTGTGTGTGTGTGTGTGTGTAGGGCAGGGGTCGTCAGACTGGACTGTGGGATGAAATGAGCCGGAGAGGGAGGATCCTGGGGTGCGGGGGGAGGCGCGCGATGATGGATGCGGGTAGCCGGACCCTGGGAACGCGGCGGACCAGCGACCCTTCTCTAAACAGGATGCCTTGGACTAGCTCGCCGCGATGCCGAGAAAAGCGTGATTCCATTGCACCGCCGCCCGAGGTCTAGCCCGAGCCTTGCTTCTGGGGTACGCAGGTTCCCCTTGCGCATTTGGGCGCAGCCGCGCGCGTGTGCGAGGAGAAGGCGACAGGAACAGGCCACAAGCTGGAGCCGTGTGGGGCCGATAGGCAGAAAAACAGCCAGTGCAGCGCTGCGTCCTCGGGGTGCACGTCCCATCTGCCGCGCGGTGCCAGGGACTTGCCTGCGCCCAGACGTGGGGCTCCCGACCAAGAAGCGAACGGAAATGCGCACGTCCGGCAACGCGGCGCACGTCCCGCTCCAGGCCTGCCCGCGTTTCTGGACGCCCCCGGCCGGGCGGGGCTGCAGCGCGACCCTGTTCCCCGAGAGCCCGAAACGGGGCTTTCGACCCCGCGTCCGCCCCACTCGCATGAACAGAGTGGCGAGCATGAGCACGGCCCGCGTCCGGTCGGGGGTGGGGGGACGTCCCTATCCCGCGCCTGGGCGATTACCGACCCGAGGCCCGGGGGTGGCGGGACGTAGGCCTGGGGCGCCTTCCCCGGGAGTTGCGCGGTCTCTGCGCTCGGGGCCTTGGAGAAACCAGTGGATGCCAAGTGGCTCCCCGCTTCTCAGAGGGGCCTGTCTCCCCGCACGCGTGGCCCCGCGGGGACCTGAAACCCGCGCGCATCGGGCGCCCATGGGGGCGACAAAACAACCCTGTGCCTTCACGGGAGAGAAAAGGGCACAGAGAGGCCTAGGGACCCCTCCAAAGTCACACAGTTGGAGGGAGGCGGTGGAATTCTAGGCTGGGGGAGGGAGCAGCAGGAGGGCGGTAAACGGGCGTCCGGGCGCCGAGAGGTGGAGAGGAGGGGTCGGGAGCAAGGCCAGGCCGGAATGAGGGCCTAGGTTGCTCCGGGACCGGATCTCGCGGGACCCCACCGGCCCGGGGGAGCAGAGGTGCGTCCTTGCATGCACTGTCCCCCGAGTCCCTCACGTGCATGAGCCCCTCCCTCAGGATCGGTCCCAGGGACACCCCAAGCTCCAGCCGCAGATTTCCCGCTTCTCAGCTTTGCTCCCGCCGGCGATGGCTCTGAAGGGTCCGCCCAGACGACGCCTCCTCCAGGCAGCCCTCCAGACTCCATCCTGTGGTCTGGACGATGCTCCAGGCGCAGCCCCGGGCAAGGGTTGGGCACGCGGAGTCCTGAAGCCACCTCGGTCTCTTTAAATTAGCGGTTCTCGCAGTCTCGGGGTTTCCATGACGACGACGTCGGGAGGGGGACCGAAGGGGGGAGTCAGGTCGGAGCGCATGCGCGGTGCGTGCCGGACGCAGCACGTCTTCCCGAGTCGCCCGCGCAGCTGTCGTGGGGACCCTGAACCGCGGTAATGACGGGATTTGGGGGTGTCGCTGGGCCGGGTGTGCGGACTGGGATGTTCGAGCGGTGGGGGTCGGGGTGGGTATTCGCAGGATGGGGGCGGGGTGTGGGCTGCGCCGGGCCCGCGGGGCGGGGTAGGTGTTCGCGGGACACGGCGGGTGGGGTCTGGCTGGGGTCCGGGGGGTGCCGCACCGGTTGGAGGGGCGGGCGTCGCTGACCCCTTCCTTTCGCTGCAGGGCGGCCGGCTCCCTCCGCTCGGCCATGGCACCCCCGCCGCCGTGCCGACCCCCGAGGCCGCCGCGGCTGTTGCTGCTCCTGCTGACCGTAGTGCTGCTGGGCTCCCAGGCCCGCGCCGAGCCCGCCGCCGGCAGCGCGGTCCCCGCGCAGAGTGAGTGCCGCGCGCCGCGGTCCCTCGGCTCCGACCCCACTCGGGCGTGCGAGAGGCCCCGCCTCGCCTTTGTTCCCGGGCGGCCCCAGGGCCCCGCCCGCAGCCGGGCGCCCCTGCCGCCCCGGAGGTGGAAGGTGGGAGGTGGGAGGTGGGGGGCGGGCAGGGGCGCCCACCTGCCCCCCGCGCTGACCCACGCCCCCCTAGGCCGCCCGTGCGTGGACTGCCACGCGTTCGAATTCATGCAGCGCGCCCTGCAGGACCTGCGGAAGACGGCCTACAGCTTGGACGCGCGGGTGAGAGGGGGGACCGCCAGGACCTCAGGGCTGCGTCCCCAGGCTCCCCGCCCCGACCTGCGGCACAGCGCCCTTATCTGGCTCTAGTTATGCGTGGGGCCTTCTGGGCGCAAGTCTCACCTGTGAGCGCCTCCGTCAAATGCCCAGCACAGTTTCCAGACCCCCTTCTTCCTCAAGGTCTCTCTGAGCACTTTTCCCTGTGACCCTCCCAGCCAGACTCTGAGGAAGAATCGCGCATCCCAATCGAGCGGCAGGCGACTAAACCCTGTGGGCAGAAAGGAAACTGAGGGGGCTCGGGGTGGGGGGGGGCGTTGGGCGTGGTAGGTCACCTTGGGCAGGGCGATCTGGGAGGCTCCCCACTCCTCAGCCTCACCTGTGGAAGGATGGGTGTGTGCACAGGATGCCTCAGGGTACCAGGATGCGGAGGGATCCCGGGGGGGGGGACCCAAAATCTGGAATGAACAGTGAGCTGCCCCCCTTCCCACTTGGTCTTCTGTGCCCCAGCCGAGGAGTTTTCGTTTATGACTGAGATACGTACTTTTTCTAGAAAAGGAGGTGATTCCCAGAAGTAGAAAGAATGGGAGGCCCCCCGCACCCTGGTCCCCCTTTCTGGCCAATTCTGAAGGGCCCAGACTGAGACCTGTAGCACTCCAGGATCTGGGGGTCTTGAGTCTCTCTGAGAAGAGCTGGACTCCTGAGAGGAGCAGTGCGCCCCCGCTCCAGGATGGGGGTGGGGTGTTAGGGGATGGGGGGGATCCTGAGAGGGGGCAGAAGAGTTGGAGAAGCAGGGAACAGCAACCCAGGTAGGAGAATGCGCACAGGGCCCCCAGGCAGGACTGGTGCACACACGGGACCTGCGGAGGGTCTAGTGGAGAGTAGGGGGCGGAAGATGGGGAGAGGAAGAGGGAGGGGAGCAGGCCAGGGGGGCAGCGGAGGGTCCCTGCAGTAAGTGGGGCGTGGTGACAGTCAGGCGGGGCTCCCAGAGTCTCAGGAGCAGGTAGACACCAACTGCCAGTGGGTTTGGGCAGGAAGCCAGGAGATGGAGCTGGTGGGCGGGGCTGGCAGTGTCATGCCCTCATTGCCCCGTGTTGCTTTGCAGACGGAGACCCTCCTGCTGCAGGCCGAGCGCCGGGCCCTGTGTGCCTGCTGGCCTGCCGGGCGCTGAGGACCCTTGTCAGCGCATTTGCTCCTCAATAAACACCCAGCCCGGCACACCTGTGTCTTGTCTTCCTACTCCAGAGCCCACCTTCGTCGTCTCGTCCCTGGTTGGGCCCCTCTCTGGGCCTTGATTTCCCCAGCTGTTCCATGTGGGTTGAGGCCCTCTTGGCACCTGTCCCGTAACAGCGCCAGCACTGAGCAGACATGCACATCCAGCCCCACACGTGGACCTGTACTCACAGGCTCCGCGTGGCTACAGCAGTCCTTCCAGGCACCTGCTTCTGCGCCTGCCTGCCTGCCCTCGTTTGAGAACGGGAGAGCATAAAAGCTGGCTTGGTCCCTGAGCCGGCCGCCCCAGCGCTGAGCTGCCCTGCACTGTAGTGGGTGGTGGTTGGCGGGGCTCCCTGCAGACCCAGCCAGTGGGCCCCACGTAGCCGAACCTGCTGAGGCCAAGGACCCCAAGGCTGCCAGGAGAGGAAGGGTGACTGGGCAACCCAGAGGGCACCTTCCTCACAGCCTGCACCCTGCGTGCTGGGTCCCTTCTGCAGCAGCCCCCAGTCCAGCCCCTGGACACCAGGCACTCCTGGATGGAGTTGTGGGCCTGAACGCAGGTGTCACACCAATGGCAGCAGGCCCAGATTCGCGCACTCTCCTCCCTCCCTCCCTCTCTCTCTCTCTCTCTCTCTCTCACACACACACACACACACACACACCCCCCATTCTCCAGCTCCAGGCAGGAGGCCTCAAGGGGAAGCAAGGGACCCCCCCCTTTTCATTTTTATTATGAAAGCAATGCTTTAAGATATTCAGGAGCACAGTAGGACTACAATTGGAAGTGACTACTATGGGACACTCGGCCTCTCTGGGGCTTTAGCTCCCCGGTTGTGGCCACTTCTGCGCCCCACGGCGCCCCATGCTGCTGCCAGAGCCAGTCCAGCCAGTCCTGCTGTGCTGCCTGAGGACGGCCCAGCACGAGCTCACAAGTCCCCACCGGCCTGCTGCCCATTTCTGACCCCCTCAGGGCCCCAGCAGGACCCCCTCCTGCCTTTCCCCCAACCCCACTGGCCTCCCAACATGTAATGTGACCTGTCTTGTCATCAGGGCTTTTGTGCCTGGAGCGCCAGGTGTCAGGACAGTGAAGAAACCAGAGTCCCACCTTAGCCCAGGTGGGAGGCCACGCTACATGCCTGGCAGCCATGACGCCTGTGGAGTCCACAGCAGGCTGGAGAGACTGGGAGGCGCTGAAGCCATGGCAGACGCAGGCTGGCTCTCAGGCCTGGGCACAAGAGTGCACCAGAATGCTCCAGAAAGGGGCAGAAGGCTGGTGCTCACGTCTGATCGGTTGACCCCAGTCACATGGCCATTCCTGGGTGCAAGGCGGGCTCGGGATGTAGCCTGTGTTCTGGGCTTGGGCTGCCAGGCTTAGCAAACACAGACACAATCTTTATACTGAACACTTTTCAGCATAAGACAAAAGTGCTTTTGGATAAGCGCCTTTTAGAATTAGTATATCCCATGCAATATTCGGGACACAGTTATACTAAAAATTATTCGTTGTTTATCTAAAGTTTAAATTTAGCTGGGCATCCTGTATTTCAGGGGCAGCCACGAGCCCTGGCACAAATTGGGGTTTCTATTACAAAAAAGATGGCGACAGCTGAGTGCTTGTCACAGAAAGCCTGTGGGGACGTGCCCTTTGGAAGGGAGAAGGGGCCGGGGCCAGTGCCAGGGGCAGCAAGCAGGTGGGGCGTGGACACTGCTGTGCAGGTCCATCCAGCCAGTAGTCTGCAGCTGCAGGGGCAGGAGGAGGTGGGGGGGATGGGCATGACCTCCTTGGGAGCCTTTGGGGGCTTGAGCAAGAGGAACACGGTGTGACCTCTGAACAGGACACTGGCTGCTGGTTGAGAATGGATCCTGGGGTGGCACAGACAGAACCAGGGCTCATGAAGAGGGGCGGCTGAGGCTGGGTGGCGGCAGCCTCGGCAGCGGGACAAGCAGTTGAATTGGAAAGTAGAGCCAGTGAGATTCGCCATGTTTGGGTGGGTTCTGAGAGAAAAGGAGGAGGGACAGATGGATGGCGTTTGGGAGAAGGGGAAGGGTAGGTAGGATCGGGGTACGCTGGGCAGAGAGGCCCAGGTGGTGACCGGGCAGATACTCCTGGAGAAGAGGCTGGAGAGAGAAGGTTGGGACACAATTGCTGGCCGAGATCTCTGTGGCCTGAGTGGACAGGAGAGACGAGGGACCCCCAGAGGAGATGGGGCAGCTGGGTGAGGGCTTTGGAGGAAGGGAGGAGTCAGCTTGTCATGTGCTGCTGAGGTCAAGCAAGGCCCAAAGCTGGACCACTGGATTTGGCATTTCTGGTCACCGCGGACCTTGACAAGGGTTGGTTGGGGGTGGGGAAGGCCCCAATGGGGGTTTCACCGGAAGAGCAGAAGTGGGGAGCCAGCAGACAGCTCTTGCAAGTTTAGCCTTGCATGTGGCCAAGGCCAATGGCACCGGGTTCTGCCCTAGAGCTGGGATCCGGCGGTAAATGTAATTCTCCACTGGGCTAAGCAGAGACCTGGGAACACATTACCTGCAGGACGCTTTTGTTGCCCGTGTCATTGCCCTATTGTCGCTGTCTGCCTTTATCACACCCTCACATTCTCCAGCAGTCAAGCTATCCCCCCATGTTCCCTGCTGGGCCCTTGCCCCTGGCCCGGCCCCCAGCCAGCTGGGCATTGCCACTGCCCACCGCCCACCCTTCACTCTTCAACTTTGGAGCCACTGTTTCCTAGACTCCACGTCATCTCCCTGTCGCATGTCCTCACGTAGCCTCCCAGAGCACAGTGTGGTGAGGAGGGCTTCCCGAGCTGTCCTGTCTGAAGGTACCTTCTGCTGGCGCGTTCAGTTCATAGCTCCCACCTCAGGGCCTTTGCACGTGCTGTCTCCTCCACGACCTGCCTCCTGTTTCAGCCCCTTATCCCACCTTACTTTTCTTTGTCCCTAAGGGACCCTGGAGGGTTGACCTGTCATGGGGAGGTGAGTAGCTTCAGCCCACAGGCCTCCAGCTACCCACAGCAGGGGCTGTCCGGAGCTGCGTCTCTTCCCGCCTTTGGGAAGCCCTCACTCTGGGGGTGCTGAATGGGTTTTGATCAAGAGCCTCAGTCCTTTAGCTTGGGGAAATCCTTTTCGTTCTCCTTCTCCCAGATGCTCCCTCCCTTCTCTTTGTGGAGACCTTGTTCATTGCACAGTGTGCCTTCAGATCTGGTCCTGTTTTTCTTTTTTTCTTCCCATCGCTTGGCCTCTCGGCTCACTTCCTGCAGCACTCCCACCCACCTTTGTCATCCTGCACATTCCCACTTCCCAGGAGCCCTGCCCTGTGACCCCTGGCGAAGCTTCTCTCACTCTGGCCGCTCCCCACCCACGTCCCTGTGAATCTGCCCCTAGAATCTGGGCAGGGGTCTTGCCGCATACACAGCCCCAGTGGAGCTCTGGCCGCGGTGTCCGAGGTGCGAGGTGGGTTGGGGGAAAGGCAGGCGGAGACTTGACGTGTTGGGGGCAGCCCGGGGAGATTGGGTAGGGAGGAGACTCCCAGGCAGCAGAAGCAGAGTGGGCGGGGTTTCACGGACAGGTGGGGCTTGCAGGGAGAGTGCTGGGAGAACAGACGGCCACGAACTGTCCAGTCTACTTCTTTTTGTCTGTAAAATGGGCTCCTGATGTGGCCTGAGGGCACAGCCTCCCTGGGGCAGGTGTGGAGCCCTCACGTCTCGGAGAAGGAAACTGAGGCTCAGTGGCAGCCTGGGGTAGCTCTGCTGCCTGTGCAGGTTTCCTCCTTCAGGTCACCCCCACTTTAAGTGCATTAAAGCCCAGATCCTGATGTCTCTGAAACCTTCCAGATGGCTGTCCCTGGAGTCCAGCCCTGTCCCTTCCAAGCTGAATCTGGCTGCCCGCTCCCCATCTTGTCTTAGCATTCTCCAGGCCCCTCTGGATCAGGGGCTGGATTACTGGACTAGTCAGGTCACCATGGCCCCTGGGGACTTTCAGGGACTTGTGGGGGCTAAAGGGTGAGGTCAAGCCACTTGGAGAGACGGCCCTCTGTAGATGCAGAACCGAGGGGCCACCAAGGTCACACTGAGTGGAAGCACATGCCCCTCCCTCCATCCTTGGGCCTGGCTGTTAGACCCAGAGGGTAGCCTCAGGGTCAGGGTCCAGCGGATAGTAGCCAGCAGGAGTCATGTGGTCCTGTAGGGTCTGGGTCGCTCTGCTCCATGGGGCCCCTTCACACCCAGTCTGGGCTTAGTGGACCTGATCCTCCCCTTTGCTGGCCCCCATTACCAAGCATGATAGAGCACTCCCCAAATCCCTGACCTGGCACTCAAAACCCACATTCAAAGCCCAGCGTCCCCTCCCTCTGAAACCCCTTGAACCCTCCAGGCACCCCATACTCCATTCCTGGCTTTTCCTGCCTAAACCCCTGGCATGCTATTGGCTTTGCAGGGACACTCTTCCTGTGGTCCACCTGGCCACCCTCAGTGGACCGCAGGGTCTGGCTGGGCCCCCTGTGGCTGGTCAGTGGGCACTCAGGCCCCGTGTGCAGGGGACTGTGAACGGATGCCCCAGGTCCTTTGAGATTTTCTGTGATTCTACTTCAATCTCCTGGAAGGTCATAGCCAGGCCCCACACAAATCCCGGCATCTCATGGGGCGACTTCCCAGCTTGGCTGCCCCTCCCCCACGGCCCTCGCTTGGCAGCCCCAGCCTGGGTCCCGAGTCCTCCCTTTCCCCACTCTGCTCGGGTCCCTTTAGCACGACGTCTGAGAGGTCCGAGTAGTCCCTTCTTGGCCTCTAAGTGACCGTAGCTGGGCCCCAACGCGGGCTGAGGGTCCTCAGGCCTGGACCCCTAGGCCTCATCCCCACGTGGGTATGGTGAACTCAGATCCAGCCTGCCCTGTGGGGTCACCCCGGGGGAATGAGGGGCGAGGAGACAAAGGGGGTGCAGAGCAGCAGGAGGCTGAGTTTGTAAAGCGCTGGGGGGTCTGGGATTACCTGTTCTCCCATCTCCACCCTCACCCCTGGCCCGCGGCGTCGGCGGGTCGGACTCGCGGGGACCCGGAGGACATCGCCAGAGCACCCCGCTGCACCTGCACCGAGATCGTAGGGCGCATGCGCGGGCCGCGGAAGGCGGGGGCCCGGGCCGGGAGGGGTCCTGCGGGCCCCGCACCCCCCGTGCCTGCTACGGGTATCTCGTGTATCTCGTGTCGGAGGGAGGGTGTGCTGCGCTGCGCCCGGCGACGCGAGCATCAGACCCCGCTCCCGCTACGTTCCCGCGCCTCCAGCCCGTGCGGCCCCGGGCGCAGGTCCCAGGGGCGCCGGGCCGGGAAAGCCGGGGCGCCCCTTCCCTAGGGTCCCGGCGGGGCGCCGCATTCAGACAAAGGGGCGGGAGATGGAGATGGTTTCGTGACTGCGCCTGGCGGCTGAAGAGGAGGACGCGGCGCTGTGGGGTCCGGGGGCCCAGCCCCAGGTCCGGGCGCTCCCAGGCTCGCGCGGAGCGGCGGCGGCGGCGGCGCGGGCACGAAGGGCCCCGGCGGGAGGCGCCCTGCCCGGAGCTCCGCGGAGCGCCCCCTCCGGGCCGGGAACCCCTGCCGCACGCTCGCTCGGCCCCGGCCACCTCGCGGGCTTCGGTCGCTCCGTCGCGCCCCTGGCCGCCCCCGCCCGGCCGCGCCGCAGCGCCCAAGCGTGCCATCGGGCGGGCGCGGGGGCGGCGTCTGCTCCCACCCCCGAGATCACATGGTGACCCTCGGCAGCCAATGCAGTGGGCGCTAGGACCCTGCGGGACCCCGGGCGCCGCGACTGCACCGGCGCCGCCGCATTATAAATACTTCTCCAAAATGCGGCGCAGCTCCCAACGCGCGCCCCGGCCGCACGCCGCCTCCGCCCCGCGCCTCTGAGCCGCCGCCGCCGCCGCCGCCGGTCCGAGGGCGCCGCGCCCTTGCCCTGGGCCCGGCCCGCGTCCCCGCGCTGCGCCGCCCGGCCGGGTGCATGCATTGTGAGCCTCCTGACATGGTCTGCGAGACGAAGATCGTGGCCGCCGAGGACCATGAGGCGCTACCGGGGGCCAAGAAGGACGCACTGCTCGCCGCCGCCGGCGCCATGTGGCCCCCGCTGCCCGCCGCGCCCCCGCCCGGCCCCCAGCCCTTGGGCGGAGCGGGGGGCGCGGGGCCGCCGGGGGGGCGCGGCCTGTGCATCCGCGAGTTCCGCGCGGCGGAGCAGGAGGCGGCGCGCCGCATCTTCTACGACGGCATCATGGAGCGCATCCCTAACACGGCCTTCCGCGGCCTGCGGCAGCACCCGCGCACGCAGCTGCTCTACGCCCTGCTGGCCGGTCAGTGCGCGGGGCCCTCCGCTCGGCTCGCCCCGCCTCGGGCGCGTCCGGGAGGGGAGAGGCCCCTCCGCCCCCTCGCGCGCGCACCGACACGCACCCGCGCGCCTCCCGCATTCTGCGGCGGCCGGGGCGCGGTGGCCTCCAGCAGCGGGGCCTGCTGGGGCCGGGGCTGCGCGCAGGGGGACGTCGGGGTCTCCACCCGCGCGTCCGCCTCTCCGTCCCCTTCCGGCCACCCGGGTGGGGGCGGGTGACGGCAGGTAGCGCCGCTGCTGAGGCCCCGCGCCTGGCGCGTGTAACTATATATAATCCGCGGGGCGGGGGAGGCTGCCTCGGCGGCTCCAAGTGCTAATTTATGAGGGGAAGACAGCCAGCTCCGCGGAGCCGGGAGGGTGCGCACCGCGGAGGCGGGGCTGGGGGCTGCCGTCCCTCCCGCCGCAGGGGCTTCGAGGCCGTTCCCCAAAGCCCCGCCGCAGGGTGGTGCTTCTCTCCATTTCGCAGATGAGGAGCTTGAGGCTAGGAGGGGGGCGCGACTCTCCCAAGGTCACGCAGCGGAGGCGACTTCCACTGCAGGCGCAGCTGCCTCCTGGCAGCCTGGATGGGGCTGAAGTAATCCCGGTCCTTTCCTCCTTGTCCCTGTCCTCACACACACCCCAGGGGCAGGCCCAGGGAGGGCTCTCGGTTGGGGCCCTGGGAAGAAGGTGTTCCCCCACCTCTCACGAGCGGGATGGCCTGCAGGAGCCTGGCAGGGCGGCTTCACGCCTTCCCACCAGGCCAGAGTGGGCACGGATGTGGGCAAAGCCCCTTCCCCAGCTGGGGGACCGTGTGGGTGGCGGGTGAGGGCCGCTCCCCAGGAGCCCTGCTTGGGGCTGCTGCGGCCAGCTACTGCCGGCAGCCTGGCCAGAGGCACTGCTGTGCTGGGGACACTGGTGTTGTAGGGGGGAAGTTTGATTGATAATCGGGAAAGGGGGGCAGGAGCAGCTAAGGTGACCGTTGCTCCGCCACCGAAACCGGTTGGGCCTATCTGGCACACGTGCCTAACCGCCCTGTGCACCGGGGGCTGTGCTGGGGCTCCTGTGGCCTCTGCCCGCCTGTGTCCTCACTGTGCTCCTCGCCCGCAGCGCTGTGCTTTGCCCTAACCCGCTCGCTGCTGCTGACGTGCCTGGTGCCGGCTGGGCTGCTGGGCCTGCGCTATTACTACAGCCGGAAGGTGGTGCTGGCCTACCTGGACTGCGCCCTGCACACGGACATGGCCGACATCGAGCAGTACTACATGAAGCCCCCCGGTGAGTGCCCAGGCCCTCCAGCCCCCTCCTCTTCCAGGCCTGGGATGAGGGCCAGGCAAGGGGCACCCATGACCTGAGGCTTCTGGGTGACTGAGGGCTCCGAGTTGGCAGTGCAGTGGGCTGGCAGGGGCTGAGGGCAGAGCTAGGTCCCTGGTGCTGAACCTGGTTGCTGAGTGTCCACATGAGCCCGCCTGGCCCTGGGCCTCTGTCTTTTGTCCTCTGAGCGTGGGTTTCTGAGTGGCTTAGCTGGCCCTGGGCCATGGCGTGCTGGCCCTGCTTGTCACGCTGCCTTTCAGTGCACTTGCTGAGGGCTGGGCATCTTTGTCACCTCTTGTTGGTCCCGTCTAGTCCAAGGCGCTCACTGGTGCCTTGTAGGATCCTGGGCTGGTCTGAAGTGCCAAGGCCCTGGTGGACGGGGCCGCAGAGGACCCTATAGCTGGAAGAGGACCTGAGGAAAGGCAGAGGTCACTTTAGGGGGCCTAGACTCTGGGGGAACAGGGGTCTTAAGTCTTGGTCTCCACTCCTGGCCTCTGGGTCACTTAGTGAGCCAGAGGGTCTCGCCCCAGGTCCCTGGTGAGGCATCGTGCAGCGGGAGGGGCCTGCAGTCTTCCAGTCTGGCCGCTTGGCCGCCTGGGTCCTGGGCGGCAGCACCACCGGTTGTCTCTAAGCCTGGAGCCAGAGACGAGACCTTTCACCTCTGCCATCTGGGGCATAAGGGTCTCCAGGGTGCTGAAGGGTCCCTGAGCTGAGAAGAAAGGACAGGGTGGGCCCCAGTGCTTGGTTAGGGTTTATTAAGATCCTGGTCAGTGCCAGGGAAGGACAGTGGGAGACAAGAGAGGCAGGGTGTCCCAGAGAAAGGATGACCTCTGGCACTGCCAGCTCCGGTGCCCACCAGCTCCAGCTGAGCCGGCCCATCCTGTGGTGGCTGGTCCCGTCCCCACCCTTGCCTGCCCTATAGCTGTCTGGACGGCCTTGGGCACCTTTGGTTCTCCTTAACCCTTTCCTAAGCCCAAACAAAGCATCTTATCAGCCTCCGTGGAGCCCTAGCTTCAGCCTGGCTTTGCCCACGACGAGAAGGGGCACAAGGGTGAGACCCACCCGGCTGGCACCAAGGCCCAGGCCGAAGGCGCTGAAGTGGGGCGTGGGTTGGGGCCAGGTGTGGTGTGATGCCCTTGCTCTCAGCCCTGCTCTCTTTGGGCTGCAGTCTCTCTGGCTGTGAGATGGGGATTGGGGCCCTCTCAGCCCTTCCGAGCATCTGTGGGTCTGCAGGAAGCTCCTACAGGGACGGAGAGGCTGGCCGGACAGCGCCGATGAGGCCATGCTGGCTTCATGGGAGCTGCTGGTGCAGTGGGGAGACAGGCCTGGGGAGGGGCGGGGCTCCCGGGACTGTCCTGACCTCTGGGTGGGCCTGGTCGGTGGGGCGAGCCAGCACCTGCATGGTGGGCAGTTGGGGGCAGCGTGCCACCAGCATCCCGTTCTGCCATTCCCGAGCTTGGCCACTTGCAGAGCTGTGGGCAGACAAGAAGGTAGGGGACTCCCGGGGGTAGGTGGAGGAGTGAGGAGTGTCTTCCGGGCAGGGGTCAGGTAAGGAGCGTCCAGAGGGAGAGTTGGGCCACTCAGGGAGGGCAGTTGGGGTGGGGTGGGCGGGTCGGGGTTGGTTGGCGGGAGGACACAGTGATGGGGGCTGGAGTGGCCGTGAGCAGGGCGTGAGCAGGCCAGCTTGGAGTGGGCACCCCGACCCGGCCTCTTGCCGCCCCTGGGCCTTCAGGCACCAGAGGTGACCCGGCTCTCCCTGTGGCCTGTGGCCTCTCCCCTTGGTCGTCATCCCCTCTCCCCTCTTTTTCTTCCCTCAGCCCACTGAGGCCTTCCTTGCCTTCCTGCCCTGCATGGGGCTGTGATCAGTCCAGGCGGTGGGTGGAAACGGCTGGCCTGGCCCCTGGGCTAGCTGCCCAGGAGAGGCCAGGGTCAGTGCGGGGAGTGTGTGGTGCCTGTGGCCGTCCCGGGCTCCCCGCCTGGATTTCTCAAGTGTCCACACGGACCTTCCCCCGAGCCTGCCAGAGCCCCAACTCTGTGTCCTGACACAGGCAGGTCATGGGGCTCCCACCCAGCAGCCTCTGACCCAGCAGAGTGGAGGCCACCGGGTTGGCAGAGCCAGAGACTCGTGAGGTCCCCTGAGGACCCTGGGGCTGTGGCTACCCGAGGTGGCCTTGCTGCCCTGGCCTGTCCTTCCAGATACCTCTCAGCCCCCACTGTAGAGGTCCTGGACACTCCCTCACAGCATCTACCTCTCCAGCTCCCTGCTGTGGACATGTGGGGATGAGTGTAGTGGGCTCCAGGTGGCCAGGAGTCAGGGCAGGCTGGCTGCACCGGGCCTCTCCATGGCCATCCGGGGCAGTCCGGGCGTCAGTCTCGGGGTTGCTGGGTGAAGAGGGGCCCGCTGGCTGAGACCCGCCCAGTGCCTGGTCCCGGTGCGGGGGGAAGGACCCGGCCCTGCAGGGCTCACCAGGCCTGCATTCCTGACTGCCCTGTCCCCCACAGGCTCCTGCTTCTGGGTGGCCGTGCTAGACGGCAACGTGGTGGGCATCGTGGCAGCACGGGCCCACGAGGCGGACAACACGGTGGAGCTGCTACGGATGTCTGTGGACTCGCGCTTCCGCGGCAAGGGCATCGCCAAGGCGCTGGGCCGCAAGGTGCTGGAGTTCGCCCTGCTGCGCAACTACTCCGCAGTGGTGCTGGGCACGACGGCCGTGAAGGTGGCCGCCCACAAGCTCTATGAGTCCCTGGGCTTCAGACACATGGGCTCCAGTGACCACTACGTGCTGCCCGGCATGACCCTCTCGCTGGCCGAGCGCCTCTTCTTCCAGGTCCGCTACCACCGCTACCGCCTGCAGCTGCGCGAGGAGTGACCGCTGCCCGCCTGCGCCCGCTGCCCAGCCACCCCATCCGCCTGTGCCCGCCTGCCCGCCACCCGGGCTGCTTTCAGACGCTCACCTTGGCGTTCCTGTTGGGTTTTTCCTTTTTCAACATCATGCGGTTCTCTGGCTGGTGCTGGGGGACGGAGCTGTTGCTCAGCCATGACACTTCGGGGGGTGGGCTGTTTGCAGCCGTGGCCCCTCCCCTCCCCAGCCTGCTGGGACCATGCCCTGAAGAGTGACAGCATGGACTGCCACAGGCCCTCGCAGCTGCCCGGCCCCGGATGACAGGGCTGTTCCGGCCCATGGCCACTGAGGCAGGCCCAGCCTTACCCACTGAGCACAGAACCTCTGCAGCGAGGCCCCCGCCCAGCAGACTCCGGGCCGCCGGCCAGGCTGTGGCTCAGCCATTGGTCCCCAGGAGGTGTGGCCTGCTGGGCCGGCCGGCCACTGCCCGGTAGGGCACTGAGCTGGCCGCGGGCCGCTTTGCTCTGTGCATGCTGAGCATGTGGCCTGGCTGCAGCATGCCGCATGCCCACAGCCCCCGCCCTGCAGCCCTGCCCAGGCTGGGCCCAGGCTGGTGAGCACCCCCTGCCCCGGCCCAGAGCGAGCCCCAGGCAGCCATCTGCTCTCTGGACGGCCTGACTCACAAGCCCCTTGCTTCACCCAGTTTAGCTTTGCTTTGACACCGAATCACCTTTCCTTTTGGCCCCAACCCCTCCCCTGCCCGGGCTTTGCTAATTGGCATCATCACCCCTCTGTGGTTCCCATAGCGACCCACTGCACAGCCGTGGTCAGGGCCCTTCAGGAGAGCAGAGTGGGGAGGCAGTCTTGGGGTCACCTCTCCCCCAGTACCAGCTACATCACGGTGGCCTCTCCCAGGCCTCCCGAGGACCTCCCCGCCTCAGCCCACAGGCTCTGCCCTGTGGGTCTTACTAACCCAGGCCGCTGCCAACACCACTGAGCCCACAGCTTCTCCCAGCCTGAAACCAACCTATTTTTTAATAAGTTATTTAGACAGGATAGCACTCTGCATGTCTTTAATACGTGGGACAAAATAGTAGTTTATACCTTAACACACGCACACACACCTACACACCTGTGTGGTCTAGAATATGCACTATTTATGGCCCAGTTTGGTGGGGGTGGGTGGCCGGGTGGGTGGAGGTTTTCAAAGTTTGAAATCTGGAGGGAGACCCTAAATTAGCATATTTCCCCCCCAAAGAGCATTCCTGGTTTGTGAGAAGGCTGTGGGCCGCCCCTCTCCAGCCCTGTCGTGCCACTGCCTTCAGGAGGAGTGGGTGGGTCTCGCCGTCCAGCGAGGCTTGGGGGGCTGGCTGTGCTGCCTGCCTCTCCTTCCTGAGGTTGGAGGCAGGGGCTGTCGGGCATGGGTGACCTGGACCTCGAGAGGGAGGTGGTGGTCGGCAGCGGCTGCACGTCCAGCTATAAGCCTGAACCCCGCTGCGGTGGCAGGAGGGGCAGAAATGCCTGCCGAGAACCCTTTATTTGGGGGCGTGGGGCGGGGACAGTGGCAGGTGCTGCAGGCCACTGAACTGGGTCCCACATGCGGGACCACAGGGGACGTTCTTAAAAAGGCACTTTGGAAACTAGCAAATGAATGAAATGAGCCCGGTTTCCGGAGGAGCCTTTTGTGCTGCCAGCAGTCGAGGTATTTGCAGAACACTGTACAGACCCCACTTCCCTGTACATACCCCCGGTGGCGCCCGGCCCCTGCTCGGGGGTGGGAGTTTTGTAGACTGTACAGAAATCGGCACCCTATTTTCTTGCAGCTCTCAGATTTTGTTAACCTGGATTATACAGACAGACGTAAAGTGTTTTAGCAAAATGGAAAACAAACAGTTGTGCCTTTTTCCTCTTTCTGTTTGGTTTGGTTTTGGCTTGAGGCAGCCTAGTTGCTGTGGGGTGTGTGGGGAGCTGCGGCTGGTCTGAGGCCTGGTGGGTTGGGAGGGGCAGGTGGGGGCCACGTGGGTCAGCATGGCGGGTCGTGTCAGTGGGAACGACACTGGCTTCCGTTGATCCTGTGCCTTTGGCACCTCTGGACCCTGGGGTGGGGGTGCATGGGTGGGAGCTGCTGGAGCCCACAGGCCCTGGGGCTGCCAGGGTTAGGGTGATGTTGACCAAAGCACCGCGCTGGCATTGCTCCTGGGCAGCGGTGTGCTGTCTCCTGTTCTGTTGGCACCTGCCTGTCCAAGATCTGTGGGCTAAGTGGGCTGCCGCGTCTCTTCCAGTTGGACGGCCTGGGGTAGTGGATGCTGCCTGGATTCTGGGCCTTTATTGCCCTTTTGTTGCTGCCAGGACTCGGGAGAGATGCCAGGAGGGGTGTGTCCAGGTGGCCTAATGTCCGGAAGCCTGATGCTACCCAGCCGCTGAGGTGGCACCCGTGTGCCCAGCACGGCCCTCCCCCTGCCAGTGTGCAGCTCAGCAGGCCCCCAGGGACCTCCGGGGGCAGGTCTCCCATCCTTCCCCTGGGTTGGAGGCTGGGCACGCTGGTGGGGGGCCCTGCCCCTGGCTAGTCGCCTCCCTCTGCCTGGGAGCTAACTGCTCCGAAAACATGCACTGAGATGTGAATTTTATATGTTTGTAGAAATTCTGATGTTACTACTTCTACCTCTGTGAAGCGTCCTCCTGGGGTCCCGCTCAGTGATGTGTCTGAACAGCCCCTCTGAGTCAGCGGTCCTGGGTCTTGTCCTCCCTGCTGGCCCACGGGTGTACCCCAATGGCTGTCTGGTGAGGCCCTGGGAAAGCCAGCCCTGGGCCTGGTATCTGTGTTCAGGGGTTGGGGCTCCCAGGACTTCTGTTGTCCGTTGGGAAGCCTCTGTTTTTGGAGCAGAAAACTAGAGGCGGATTATTCCAGAATGTGTTAGATGAGCCTGAAACACCAACCTGAGGAGCAGCTCCCAGGCAGTTGAGGGCTCCAGTACCTGATGACTCAGTGCCACCAGGGTCCTGGCACGTGGCTGGTGGGCCAGCCGCAGGGCAGTTCCCACTGCCCAGGTTTGGGCTCTGCAGACAGCTGGCACCCCAGGGTCGGCGGTCAACATGTGCTGAGGCCACCATGTGGGCTGGCCCGCCATGGCGGCATCTGCCACCTCTCACCCTCACCCAGGTCAGCTGGTTTCCTGCTGCTGCCATTGGGTAGAGGGGGCAGAGGGATGGGGCCAGCCTGCCCTGAGCGGGTAGAGGGCTTGCCCTGGGGACAAGGGTTAAGCGGGAGGCCCTGGGGTCCTAGGGTGGTGCCTGCTCTGGGCAGCCTTTCTCAGAGGAGGCCTTTAGAGGAGACGGTGGTGGACGCTCCTCAGGCGGTTTCTTCGGGCGTCAGCAAGTACTTGGGAGGCTCTCTGGGCAATAGGGCTGGGCTCCGGCCTCTGGGGTGCATATTTCAATGTGAGCACCTGCTGCTGCCTGCCTGGGGTGGCCAGCACTGTGCCACCTTCCTGGCAGTGTCCAGGGGATGGCTGGACAATGGACCCCGAGCCTTGGGAGCCAGGTGGGTGGCACCGCTGCTGTGTCCTCTGTGACCTGCTCCTGCATCTGTTTGATGCCACTTCTGTGAATCAGTTTTGGCCATGGGCCCGTGTTCCTGTGCTGATGGCCCTTGAACAAGACTGGGTGAGGGGCGGGCAGGTCCTACAATACGTTTGCCCCTTGGTGCTGACGACGTGCTCCGTGGATGAGTGGGCAGCCAGGGCCGGTGGTGCGGGCAGATGAGCCTGACCCGCCATTGTGGGAGGTGTTTTCTTTAACAGCAATAATTAGCTATTTTGAAGAAGGGGTGTGTCGGTGAGTGCCCGCCCGCCTGCGTGCGTGCCTGCCCGTGTATGTGCACACGTGTGCACATGTGCGTGTGCTGGTTACACACATGTGCCTGTGTGCATGCCTGCACATATACGTGTGTGATGGCGGAGGGAGCCTGGTGGCCGAGGGCCTCGTGCTGCAGCCTGGGATGGGGCGGCTGTGCCCCGCGCTCTGCTGTGCTAGGCCTGCGCGGGGCCCACTGGACCATGAATGTAATGCTCCTTCAGGCGGAGGGCGCTGGATGGGCCTGTGTGGGGGTGCCACCACCTGGACGAGTCTTCGCCTGGGTCTCTGGGTGGCGAGACCAGGCTGTTTGGCCACGGCTGCCGTGTCTTTGGATGAGTGGAGCCCAGTTTCATCTACCATGCTTTACTGTTTGTGAGCCCACGAGGGGGGCGACTTTCCTGACACCCCAGGATGTGCCAAGATAGCCCCTAGAGGGGCTGGGTGGTGGTCAGCCGAGTTCCAGAGGAGACAGGCTGCTGGCTGGGGCGGGTAGGGGCCCCAGGCTTCCTGTGGGTGTGTGAACAGCAGAAGGGGTGGGGGCACCCCCGCCTGCACAGCCCCCCGATGCTGCTGATTTTCAATAAAACCAGAGTTGACAGAACTGGGCTCCCGTGCTTTCTTGAGGGGTCCCAGCCCAGTGCTGGCCTGGGAAAGGCTAATTTTCTGGGGGCACTGGACTCCTCCAGGAGGCTGGACCAGGTGTGGGGGTGACCTGTGGGGCCCAGACGCCCCTGTCTCTGTCTGGCATCCCCTGCTGGGGGCTCCACTGCAGGCCTGGGTATCTGCAGGTGGTGTCAGGCCCACTTGGGAGGGGTGGTAGGACCCTCATGTCTGTAAGGGAGGGGGGATGAGGTGGGGTTGGGGGGTCCCGGCCAGAGAGCAGGGGCTCAGTGTGGACATACCTTGGCCTTGTTGATGGGGACCTGAGCCAGCCCAGCCTGGACAGCTTTCCACAGTAGGCCTTCAGCACCGGCCCGGCTCCCAGCACATCCCTTCCTGAAGGCTCTGCCACCTCAGCCATCGGGGGGCGTCGGACATGCTGCCTTCTCTGGGTTCTTCTAAGTTGAAACCAGTCTCAGTGGGTCTCAAAGCCTGAAGGTGCCAGCACTGGGACATGCCCGCCCCGCGGCTTCATCCCTGTGTGGCCCGCTCTGGCCCAGGGGACATGGCCGTGTTTGGCCGGCAGTTCCCAAGCTGGTCATTTGTTTTGAGCAATACATGCCTTTTGAAGCCCACAGTGGCCATGCCTCTGAGGTGACGGCATAAGGACAGGATGGCCACGTGCACATGGACACAACACACAGGCCTCTGGCATGGAGGGCCCAGCAGCAGCTCTGGGCCAGCTCTCCAGAGTCAACCCATGAAACCAGTGACAATGTCTTGAAGCCATGAGAAAGACGGGCCTGGGCACGGTAAGCTATAGCGACTGCATCACGCAGAGAAGATGATGCTGTGTCCAGTGGGCTCTGCAAAGGAGGTGGTGTGAAAACCCAGTCATCATTTAAACGAGAGCAGCCTTGGCATGTGCAGGAGGGAGTGCCTTTGCCCAGACCTGGAGCTGTGCCTGGGCACCTGTCAACATGTTCACCTCATCCCAGATGGGCTATGGGGACCTGTGCTCCATTTGGAGGGTGGCACGTGGAGCGCAGACCCAGGTAAGGAAGCGAGAGGGAGAGACCTTGGCCCTCAGGGTGCCAGGGTGGTCTGGAAACGGGACCCCTGGGGCACGCTGCCAGGGCCCATGACAGAGGCAGGAGAGCGGTGGTACGGGCTTGACCGGGCTGCAGGCCCAGCTGGCGCACTTATTAGCCATGTGCACTGTAACCTTTCCATGCCTCGGTTTCCTCACTGTGCAAGGGCACATCATGTTTGCACCTGTCACAGGCTGCTGCGAGGCTGTTGGGGGGCACGGGCTGGGCCTTTCCCTTGGCACTGGGGGGGTCTGTGAGAACTGCTTTGTGAGTAGACTCAGGCCTGGGGGGAGCCAGGCTGTTCCCCGGGCCTAGTCACTGGCTTGCCTGAGGCTCGAGAGATCACGGGGCCCCAGCAGCCTGTTTGGGATGCTCAGCCCTGGCTCTGGCTGAGTGGCTGAGGGTTGTGGGCATGGTGTTTCCCACCCATGAGAAGAATTTACTCAGGGACGAGGACAGCTGTGCAAAAGGTGTTTACTCCTGGGCATGACCCAGAGCGGAAATGCCCTGGCCATGTCCTGCTCTAGCCATAGAACCAGTACAAAGTGCCAGACCCTGACCTTGGGGAGGCCACACAATGGGCCAGTGGAAACCAGTTCTGTCCTTCCGCTGTTGCCTGGGGCTACCGACAAAATGAAGGCGAAAAATGCACACGCAGGGAGCCGGTGCTGACAAGAGGCCCAGCAGTGGCCTGGCGGTTGCTTGGAGACTCAGCAGGACATGGCTGTGGCTGAGGGCCCAGGGCCTCCTGCAGTGGCACCAGGTGTCCCCACGAGCGGCCAACACTCAGGCTCACCTTCAGGGGCACCTGTGGGCAGCAGTCAGAGGTGAGCACCAGGCCTGGGCCAGCCCTTCCTGGCCACCTCCCAGGCCCACGTGCAGATGGACAGGGCCCAGGGCACACAGGCAGTCACGTGCCCAAAGACACACTCAGACACAAGCATGGCACACCGCCACAGATGCACACTCACGCACACTCGCAGGGGTAGGCAGACAGGCTGCCCCCACATTCACTCCCCAGTCACAGCACCTTGACTGAACCCCCACCTGACCGGCCAGGGCCGCAGTGCCAATGAGCATTGCCTGCAGGGGCAGGGCCCGGCAAGGTGCCCTACCTGTGCTCGCCACCTCGGGGCCCTGCTCCCCAGGGGACCGGCAGTCTTGAGAGGTGCCAGTGGGGCCTGGAAAGCCCTCCCCAGGGCTTTGATCCTGAATGGGCCCTTGCCCAAGGCCCTGGACCTTGGCTCAACAGCTCCCTGTCCATGGAGTGGGGTGAGGAGGGGGGCCGCCTGCAGGACTATGAGGGGGTGGGGTTCCTGGGCTTCCAGGAAGCGAGGCCCCTCCATGAGATTTCTGACCCTTGCTGGGCCCACAGGGTGCAAGGGGAGGGGAGCTGCAGGGGTGAAGTTAAGGTAGGGATGTGCCAGCAGGGGCCCCAGGGGCACAGGTCGCCACAACCCAAGGGAAAGAAGAGAAGGGAGGGGAGAACCTTTCCCAGAAGAGCAGAGGCCGCCACGGAAGTTCGCAGCCTTTCCTGCAGCCCTTCCCAGTGGGGGCTCCCAGGTGCCCCAGAGTGACACGGACAGAAACAGGAATGTCTGTCCTGCCCAGGGTGATCTGCACAGGCTTCAGGGACTCCCGCCTCCGTCCCTTCCCCACTGCCTTGGGGGAGCCTCTCGACGTAAGCAGACAGGAGTGGGGCTAGGACTGGGCTCAGCAGGCCCTGGGGTGCACCTGAGGCAGGGGTGGTGGCTTTGGTTAGAGGTCTGACCACATTCCTCGCCAATCCTGGAGGGACACCTGGCCCAGTGCCCAAAGCCCCTGAGGACACACTGTGGCTTCTCACCAGGCAGAAGGGCCACACCTTGTCACCCAGGGTAACTGGCTCCTGGAAGGACAGGCAGGGGACAACAGCCATCTGGAGCTCAGGTGCTGAGGGCAGGGCTGGGGTCACACCCTCCCTCCTGGCTCTCATGCCTTCAGGGAGCTGTGCTCTGTCTCCTCTCCCACCTGGCACCTGTGGGGGGTTGGGGGGAAGTGTGGCGGCCCAGTCCCCGCCCCTCCACCTCACCTGCAGCCGTAGGTCCAGCGCCCGCACGTGCTGTAAGGACTCCATGGTTCCTCTGACAAGAGCTAGGGAAAAGGGAGGAGCAGCTCAAGCCCAGGTAGAGTTGGGGCCATAAGACCAGCACCTCCCCCGCACGGTGCTCCATGGCTGGTTCTGTTCCCACTGGCCCCCTTCTGCAGCACAGGCATGAGGCCCCTTAACTGCTCCAACTGCGTCGTCGGGGGAGGAGGGCCTCTCACCAGTATCTAAGCTGATGGCCTCCCCCACCCCTGAAGGCACGGGTGGGGGCGGAGGGGCAGCTCCCCACCCAGCTCCCCATGAAGGTCCAAGCTGGCCCGCCCTGGGCCCTTGGTCACCATGGGGCAGTTGCACTCAGGCCCTGGGAAAGGAACTGCCCAGACTGGGAAGGGGTCAGCTGTTTCGGGGTTTCTCCGAGTTGGCTTGCCCCTTTAATGAACGAAGATTCATTCCACCCCACTCAGTTATCTGACATTTCAGTACAAAGATTTGGACAGAAGTATCCAAAACAGGCGCCGTGCTGCCTCTTTCTCTGTCCTCCGTGCCCCTGGGTTTCCTGGGGAACTGGTCCCTGGGGAGCTCTGTGGCCTCGGTTTCTTCTCTGCGCTGAGCAGAGGGCACTGGCAGTGCGGAGCGGGGGGTGGACAGCGTGGCCCCAGCCCCTCTGACCCTGGTGTGCACCTAGGGCCCCTGCAGAGGGACCTGGTCTCCCTGGGGAGCTGCAGGGTGTCCAGGTACTTCTTATGGGGCCCTCACCCTGCTGGGGCTACACTGGGTGTGCAGACAATGCCAGGTCCTCCGTGTGTCCCCTCCTTAGTGCTGGTGGGACAATGTGACTAAGTGAGTGACCCCAAGTAACCGCTGTGCAGAGGGGCAGTGGCTGCCAGCTGGGCTGGCTCTCAGCCCAGGGCTCTCAGCCGTGGGGGTGACCCCAAACTCTCCAGCCTCCATCCATGGCTGGAAGGGCAGGGCTCCTCCTGGTGCTGAGCTCAGCGCTGTCAGTCTGGTGTTTGTTCCAGAGGTGGCCGCAGGCGTGTTGTGGACACTCACCTTTTTCGGGGCGACCACAGGCCCGCCCGCCCCCTAGAGAACAGTCCAACTGTCCCTGGCTGCTGTCCCAGCACAGTGCCAGGACCCCACGCCCCACAGGAAGCCACCAGGAGCCTCTCCTCACTGCCCGTGGTGTCCTGGACTCCCTGCAGGATGGGCCCCCCTGCAGGATGGGACTCCTTGCAGGATAGGGCCCCCGGTAGGATGGGACCCCTGTAGGATGAGACCCCCAGTAGGATGGGTCCCCCTGCAGGATGGGCCCCTGTAGAATCAGGTGGTGGGGCCACAGGAGGGCTGAAGGCGTCACATGGGAGCTGGTCCCAAAGCTGGCATGCAGACCTAAGGCCCAGCCCTGCAGGCCCCCGAGCCCCGGCATGCTCCCCCACAGACCCTGCCAGGACAGCGAGGAGCACAGGGCCTGTGTGCTCCCGCTCACATCAGCGAGGCCAGAGTGGGAGTGGCCCCCCACCCCAAACTAGCAGTTGTATTTGGGGGAGGAAATTCTGGCTCTCTCTGAGGACTGGGGGGACAGGTGGTCCCCCGCTTCGAAGAGCCTAAGGACTGAGAGCTGGTGGTGACACCCCACACGGAGCGACCCAGGCTTGGAATCTGCACTGAGCCTGGGGCCTCAGCCATAGAATCCCCACACATCAGCCCCTCTGCTGGCTCCACAGCCCAGCCCCCCACCAGCCCGAGTGCTGCTCCCTCTTTCTGGCGCCCCTGGGGCCCATGAGGGCTGCTGGCCAGGGTGCAGCCCATCTGGGCCTTTCAGGG